TTGGAACTGTCACATGCGCAACGGAACATGCGTGTGTTTTTTGTATTTGACGAGATAATAGACAGGAGTCCGGAAGTGCCCCAACATATAGCATACTCCTTATGCTTTTAGCTTGCCCCGGTTGAAAAAAATTCAAGTCTAGCCTTACAGTTTTGTAAAAAATCGCTGGGGTAACCTGTAAAAAGTTTTCGAGGCGAAGTTCAAACATACTATGCGTAACCGAGTGGGTTGAAGGCTCGTTTAAGGCTTAAACTGGTCGAGGTATTTCGTCACCGTACTTCGGATGCCTTTCACCAGTTTTCTGCTGGTGCGTTTAACAGTTGTCGCTGACCGTCATCTGCAACCGAGACTGGGCCCTTATCTACTGTTGCTTGCCTCACGTTCGCAAGGGTAACTGTAGGGTTGTTAAAAGACTGTCGGCGTACTTTACGCTTTATGCCTGAAGACATTTATGAATAGAAATTTAAGATTTCCGTACTGAAGACAAATCTGAAATCGCTTAACGTTTCCTGACAACAACCCGTATTTGGTGATTAGATTACTGCCACGGCTCTGTGCGGCCGTGAAAAGCCCACAAAGCATGCTAAGGAGTCTGTAGACGTAAGAAATTCACTCACTCTCACACACAAACAACTTTTATTAGTAGACGTACTTTGTTTACTGACCTGCCTAATATGGCACTGACCTGGACCTCACCTAGTAGCCATCTTTAGGTCAGCAAATGGCTTAGCTGCAGACGTTTAGACGCGCTATTTTAATGACGTCTGCAGTCACTCTCTAACATATGCCAGGCGCCTTACCCCCTCCCCAACTGTCTGTGTGGTGTTTGTGAGCCAAAGGTGGGGTAGACGGTCACACCTCAGCCGGAATGTTTTTTTTTCACTTTGCACGATTCCATAGGGTCTTAAAAACTCCAGACGAAAGCACTCGTAGCCAATTGCAGAGCGACGAACAGTCAATAATCGAGAATTATTTTTGCTAATCCCAAGCAAACCTGTTGTGTTTAACTGTGGCCCACTGTGCATCAACACCGCATTGGAAAGGCTCATTATTTTAGCCTAAATCCAGTCGATTGCTAGCCTGTATGCCCTACTAGCTGAGTCTCTTATTAGTGCATTGAAGTCTGCGATAGGGAATCTCCAATCGCGTGAGAGTTACGCTTACCGATCTGGTCTAATCGCGCAAAGGGTCTTTTCGACCTAAGGTTGAGCTATAGTTGGCTGAAGACAGTTAAATTAGAGGTGACCTTACCAGTTAACCATATATATTTCGGCAAAACTGTATAGTTGGGGTAAAACTTTGTCCTCCTGTAGCTTGTTCAGAATTTGAGTATGTGGTATTTCCGGGCTCCTATTGCAAGGGGTTTCACCAAAAGCTGGACTTAAAACGAGGGCGGGACTCGAGTCCTCAGACTAAGGTCCAAACACAGGAAAACAAGAACGGTGATCCCTTCCCAAAGATTAGGTTTAATTCGCAAACGCCCACGTTTTTGGTCCCAGTGAGTGTTTTTTTGAGACGATGGTTATCTGGTTTTCTTGTGTTATAGTTCATTTGAAGCACACAGAACAGTAATAATGCTAGCTAACTCGTGTCTGCCAAAGTTAGTTTGTTGGGAGCATAAAATAACCCTACTGTCCGTTTGATTATAGAAAGTAGTTGAGCCTGCAAAAGTTGGCACCCCCAGCGTCGCCTCTAATTTAGTACAAATCAAACGGAAGTCTCCAATATAGTGAACATTGTCTCCCACATCCTGTTATCCTATCTATTAGAGCATTTCGCATATATGCGTCTTCATTAAGCCTTTTTTGGAATTTCTGGTCTGGCTTGTTTTCGGTCTGTTCGATTCTTCTTTCATCGTCGTTCTGCGCCGACGACTCTGTGGGAGACTCTTTTCCAGCGTAGCAGTTGTCATTTTATGATGTAAACTATAGAAATACAAATCCATGCAGCCGGAAAACTTCACGTCGTGGGACGGACTCCAGCCGTTCTTTACTATTCGTACAGCTATCTATGACCCCCTGTTAGCTCTGGACGAGGCCTTTCTGGCTGTATGAAATTGCGTTTTCATGGTCTGCCCGGCAAAACTATAAC